TGGAGGCCAAGAAGACCAATCCACCAAGGTGGGTGGAGGAGTGTAAGGGGGTGGAGCAGGGATGTCAGGAGAGAGCATGGAACTGTGGGGGGAGGGTGCGATGAGCCAGGGTGTGCAAGTCTGCGAAGCTGACCTGCCCAGGCCATGGCCGCTCTGGCTCCCCTGCACTAGAGCCTCAGGGCGCCGACGGCCTGCTGAATGCAGCTTCCTCCAGGAGGCCTGGCCTCCGCAGGAGGGACGGTTGGGAGGCTGTTCCCGCCAGCAAAAGAAGTAGAGGAGGCTTGGCCCCTTGCTTACACTCTGCCCTTGGTAGTGGTAATGGTTGCACAACTCTGTAAATTTACTAAAAATTATTGAATTATTCAGCCACTTATAAATGGCTGAATTTTATAGTAGGTTAACTATATCTCAGTAAAGCTGTTTAAAAAAATGCTGCCCTTGGTCTCAAAGCCCTGCCCTGTTAAGATCCTGCCAGTCTTATAGCCATACCTCACACCTACTTCTCCATTTCTTAGGAACCCTTTCAGGCTTGTGTCCGCTCTGGTAACCTCTCCTTATCCTTCTCCCTTAGGCTAGTGGTCCCTTCCTCCAAGAAGGCCCTTCATTCCATGCCCTACTCAGTCCCCTTCCTGCTCTCATTTCGCTTTGGGTGGCCCAGCTCCCGTGCACTCCTCCGGGGGGTCTGTGTCCAGTACTGTCTCCCAGTAGCACAGGGCAGCCCGCTCTTGGATAGACTCTGGGGCTGTGTGTAACTGAACATCCAGAACATCTCACTGTGGGCCACCTGTCTGCGTGTCTACGTGCTGACAGCACCATCCCACCCCACGGTGCCCCACACCCTGCTGCCTGGCCCGAGGGGCTCAAGATAGAGCCCTACGGGGGGTGAATCCCGGCTCCTTTGGAGCTGAGAGTGTAGTGAAGGCGAGTGAAGCTACCACCTCCGGTGACCTCATTGTCATTATGACATCACTGGCCCAGCATTCTGGGTTCCTGCCTGGATATTTCCAAGCTCCCCAGGTGGGGGTACTCCCCTGGGGCCTGTGACAGCTTGCCCCCAGACCATGTAAAGGTGACCGGCACGGTAACAACTCTGGGGTGTGGAGGCAGTCTCAGGGTGGCTGGGTCACCTTGCCCTGGGCCTAGTCTGTCAGTTGCCCCAGTGAGCAGAGGCGGTCACCAGGGCAGGGTGGCAACTAACACTTAAGTTCTAGGTTCAAGTTCTACCCCAGACAGCTCTAGCTGTTGACCTTGTCCTGACAGCACAAACCTCTCTGAGCCTCCATTTCCTCATCTCTAAAATTGGTTAATGGTTCCTATTTCCCAGGTTCTGGGGAGGAGTCAAGGAAGGAGAGGAGATATGCAGAGCATCAGAGCACGGAGCCTGGGCCACAGCAGGTGCTCAACACATGCTAGCCGATAGGGTCAGTCAGTCAGCGAAGGGAGCCTCAGGGACACTTGGTGGTGGGAGCTGGTCAGAGAAGGGCAGAGTCTGTGTCTTCGGGGGCTGACCAGGGTCTGGGGCTAAAGGTAGGGGTGGCCACACTGTCAGGAGAGTAGCCCCAGCTTTGACTCTCCCTCTCCTCCTAGCTCAGCCAGTGAGCTTGAGCCCACAAGAGGTTGGGCCTCATGACCAGGCCCTGGGGCCTCAGGCCAGAATGGGTGGGGGTGCTAAGGAGGTGGGTCTATCTGGTCTCCCCCAAACCTCCCCGGCTGCCTCCCTCACCTGTCAGTATGTCCAGCTGCTATCTCTTGGTCCCCAGGTCCCTGGGCCTGGGATTCGCCCCTCAGGGCTCTGTTTCCATGCCTGTCGGACTGAGGTTGTTGCCCTGGGTCTCTTCTGAACCCGGCCCCCCAGTCTCTGCTTCCCATGATGCTGTGTCCTCTATCCTTGACCCTTTGCCCTGTCCTCCCCACACCCTCTTCTCTGACCCACCCCTCTGGTTCTCTGTCTCATGATCCTCTGTCCCCCACCACCTGTCTCTCTCCTTCTGCCCCCATGTCCCCTTCTGCCCCCCAACTCTCAAAGGCTGGTTCCCCCCTCACCCCCGCCCCCAGGCTCTGTCCTGCCCGGCAGCCCCTGGTCCCAGCTCCCGGCCGCCCGGCTCCTGCACGGACAAAGGGGTCCTTTGTGGCCTGACCGCGCCTGGCGGGGCGGCGGGGCGCTGGCTCCACATTGCTGATGAAACGGAGCCCTTTGTTGTCCCTCCTCAGGCGCAGTATTTCTTTTTGGGGGCTGGATGCGTTCCTGGCAGGGCCGATGATGGATGCGCCCGCCGCCGCCCGCCTGCCCGCCAGCTTTCCCTCCCGCTCATTCCCGCTCCGCTTCAACGCAGCCCCAGCTCCTCCCCTGCTGCCTTGGCACTGCCAGGCCCTTCCTGGCCTGGGAAGGGTTGCTCTGTGCCCTGCAGTAGAAGGCTGGGGCCTGGGAGATGGTCTTCTTTTATGTCCTCCTGTTCCATGGGTAGGGCGAATGGATCCCGTGGTCAGGGGTCCACTGGGACCAGGGCATCAGCTTTTACCGGGGTCTGGAGGAGAAGATGAGCCAGGCACAGGGACATCAGGGCCTTAGGGACTAAGATGTTGGTATCTTCCCACTCTGGGGTTTGAGGACAGTTACCCTGCATGCTAGTCCCCCTTGTGTATCCCCCCATCTTCAGTTTCTGTGGCTGACAAACCACAGTGTTCTGCCTGCAGCACCTGTTCAATGACATATCACGTCCTCTGGTCCTGAGCTCAGCATGTCCCAGGACCTGGCGGGCTGGGAGAGGGTAGTCCCTGAGGAAGCACAGAAATGGAAGATCAGAGAGATTCAAAGAGAGGGTCTGAGATGAACAGAACGTAAGGTTTGGTCCCCACCATGAGAGACTCAGGACGGAGACAAAAGCAGGGAGGTTCAGCCGGAGCGCCAGCCGTGAACGCAGGCCGGGCTGTGTCGGAGGGAGCTGACTTCTAATTGACCTGCCAGCCCCGCACACAGAGCCAGATCCTGGAGCTGGGAAGAGGGAGGGGGAGTTGAGCAAGAGCAGAGTTAATGCCGCTATCGATTTCTGCCACCAGCCAGCAGGCCGCAGAGGCGGGGGACACGCACAGGGGCTAGGGCGCAGACTGCTCCCCTCCCCAGCTCTCCAACCCGAGGGCGCCTGCCTTCTCCTGTCTGGGGCTGCTAGGAATATAGTCCAGGGCTGGGTAGTTGAGCTCAGATTGGCAGGGGCTGGGTGAGTTGGCTCAGGGTGATGGTCTCTGGGCCTGATCTCAGTGGTCCTAGTCCCCATCACCTAACTAGGGTCACTGATGCCTGGAGACGGATACTGATCTCTGAGGAGAGAAGCCGCAGAGCTAGCCTGGCCTTGGCCCTTAGGAGGTAGGGTGGAGCACTGCCATCCTTGGGGATACATGACCCCCTTCCTCTTACTACAACTCTGACGTCCATGACATCTGAAGCCTAGCCTGGGCAGGCCCTCCTTGGATTGTCCTGATGGAACTGCCAGCGTGCCCAACTCTTCCTCACCGGTCATCTACTTTCAGTAGGAAGGAGTCTAGGTGGGCTGGTGCCCACTAGGGCAGGGCAGGGAGTGTCTGGTTTTCTGCTGATGCCTGCTATTTGCCTCATCCTGGAGATAGAGTGTTTCCCTTTCCTACACTCACTCCTCCTCGTTACCGCTCCCTAGCGGTCTTGGAGCAGGGGCTCTGCCTGCCTGGGGCCTCACTTCTACCCTCTGTAAGTGCAGAGGGTTGGACTAGCTGATCTCCCAGGACAGACGGAGTCCTATGACTGGGGGATGGTGGGGTTGCCTGGGGACAAAGATGCAGTATGTGCCGCCCCCAGGCCCAGGGCGAGACAGGCCCAGCCAGATGTGTGCCTCCTCCTTGAGCGGCCAGCTGCTCAGGCTGGGCTCTGTCCTCCTGCCTCTCTCTTGGGGGTTGCTGGGCCAAGGCAAGCAGACAGGGAAGGAAGCCCTGCTCGAGAGCCAGGGCCGATGAGGAAACTGCCACTCTGCTGCATCTGGAACAGTTCCTCCCAGAGCTCATGGCCAAGGAGCCTGGATGCTCATGTGCCCTAGTTCTGGGGCCTGAGCAGAACAGGCTCTGTCCTGGGAAGGGCCACATCAACCCTCAGTTCCAACTTGCACCAGCCAGAGGTCTCTCCTGCCCACACCCATCTCCATCTGGAAGCCAGGCTGGAGCACAGAATAAAGGCAAGGGTGGAGTCTGAGGCTTGGAATGGGAAGGAAGTGTGTGCGGACGTGTGCACAAACGTGTCCCCCATTCTTGCAGGCGAAGGCTTGTCCTCTGACACAGTCTCCCACCTGCCCTCTAGCAGCAGGGTACATGCTCTTTGAAATAAGGTTTCTGAGCTCTATTTGGCAAACTCGGTTAAAGAAAAGCAAATCTATAATTTCCTTTACCTGCAGGACTTGCCAGAGCCTTGAGAGAATTGATGTGTGATAGGAATAGCCAATGAGGATCCAGGGGCAGCTTTCCATACTTCATGGTCTACACCTTCTGTTGATCTACCCTTCAGAGGCTTTTCCAACTCCCCTTCTCCATAGTTGGGTCAGGGAAGGAAGATTAGGAAGCATTTCCAGCTCTCTCCTACTCTCAGCCCAGGAAGAACTGCCTGCCTCCATCAGGTCAGTGCACATGACCTGGCGGCAGCCACGGCTGTGGACAAAAGCAAACCTACCTCCAAGGCAGCTCTGGCTGTGGAGAGCAAGCGGAGCCACATGGTGTATCCGTGGGCTAGTCATTTCTCCCTCATCTATAAAGTAGAGTATTGCTAGCCACTACTTCATCGGGTTCTTCTGAGTCTTAACTGAGATAGTACGAATTAAAAATTCCTAATGGAGGGGGGTGGCGGGTAGGGGCTGGCACTTATTAAATAGTCAGGCTTGTGGTTGTTGTAATGGCAAAATGGTTGGTGGTGGTGGTAGAGGAGAAGGAGGAGGAGGAGGAGGAGGGATTTACCACTGCCCTGACCCTGTTTCCTCTTGTCCTGACAGAGTGAAGACCCTTCCACGTGGACACCTGACCATGTGCCTGCCCTGAGCATCGAGGCCCACCAGGCATTTCTGTTGTGGGCAGCAAGGCCCGGTGCTTGTCTGAGGACCCCCTGTAGTTGGCAGGCTTCCCCAGCAGCGGGGTCTGGGCCTCGGCCCCACCATGTCGAGCCTTAGCAGTGGCTCCCAGGACACCAGCGGCAGTAGCAGTAGCAACAATGCCAATGGCGGCGGCAGCAGTGGCCCGAAGGCAGGAGTGTCTGACAAGAGCGCGGCGGTGGCCACTGCTGCACCAGCCTCGGTGGCAGATGATGCACCACCCCCTGAACGTCGGAACAAAAGTGGCATCATCAGTGAACCCCTCAACAAGAGCCTGCGCCGCTCCCGCCCTCTCTCCCACTACTCTTCCTTTGGGAGCAGTGGGGGCAGTGGCGGTGGCAGCATGATGGGCGGGGAGTCTGCCGAAAAGGCTGCTGCAGCTGCAGCCGCTGCCTCCCTGTTGGCCAATGGGCATGACCTGGCGGCAGCCATGGCTGTGGACAAAAGCAACCCTACCTCAAAGCACAAAAGTGGTGCTGTGGCCAGTCTGCTGAGCAAGGCTGAGCGGGCCACGGAGCTGGCAGCCGAGGGACAGCTGACGCTGCAGCAGTTCGCACAGTCCACGGAGATGCTGAAGCGCGTGGTGCAGGAGCACCTACCGCTGATGAGTGAGGCTGGCGCGGGCCTGCCTGACATGGAGGCTGTGGCGGGTGCCGAAGCCCTCAACGGCCAGTCCGACTTCCCCTACCTGGGCGCCTTCCCCATCAACCCAGGCCTCTTCATCATGACCCCGGCGGGCGTGTTTCTGGCTGAGAGCGCGCTGCACATGGCGGGCCTGGCTGAGTACCCCATGCAGGGTGAGCTGGCTTCAGCTATCAGCTCGGGAAAGAAGAAGCGGAAACGCTGCGGCATGTGCCCGCCCTGCCGGCGGCGCATCAACTGCGAGCAGTGCAGCAGTTGTAGGAACCGAAAGACTGGCCATCAGATTTGCAAATTCAGAAAATGTGAGGAACTCAAAAAGAAGCCTTCCGCTGCTCTGGAGGTAACGGCGCCTTAGAGGGAGGTGTGTGGGCTCTTGCGTCTGTCTGGCAGTCCAAACCCACCCCCAGCCCCACCTTTCCTGCCTGGGCAAGGGTCTGGGGGATACCCAGCGAATCCCTGGGCTCTGGGGTTCTAGGCCAGCCTTTGAGACACCAGCTCACTGCCCCAAAAATCAGAGCCACATCCTGACATCCTAGTAGGTTGTAGTTTGCAAGGCGAGCATAAAACTCCAGGCAGGGGCCTCGCATTCCCAGCCAGGACCCCAGCATTCTGAACGCCCTCCTGGAGTTCTGGGTCAGGTATTGAGATTCCCAGACACAGCCTACGTTTCCAACTTTCACACGTGTCCTAAAGCTTCCTGTCTGTGACCTAAGATACTGGGACTCTCCCCTGTCTATTTGACAGGGTTCTGTGCCGTGGCCCCTGCGGCTTTGGGAGAGAACCCTTTGATTTGTCCCTTCAGAGCCCAGCCTTTCTCCCAAGGCCACCAAAGGGGAGAGCAGTTCAGTGCTGACAACCCTGCTCTGAGGCCTGGAAAAACCCTGGGTCTGGGCACCTAGTTGACATATTTGGGGTGTCTTGGGGGCCCTAAGATCAGCCTTGTTGCAGAGCTAATTGCTAGGGATTCTATGGGCCTGGAGTTAGGGGTGAGCCCGGGGAGCCCGAGATGTGGGCAAGGCCTGTCCACTATGGGATTGGCTTAAAGAAGGCCAACTGGTTCCCATACTGCTTTCTCCACCTCGTGGCTGAGCCTGTCCCCACGCCCCCAGCTGTGGCAGCCTAGCTGTGGTGCCAGGCCTGGGTACAAAAGCATCTTTTCAGCCTGCTGTCACTGCCCTGTCCCCACCCCTCTGTGAGTGGGCTTGATGCAAATGTCCAGAATTGTTGGAAAACAATAATGGCATCCCAGCCGTGGCTACCCGCCCCCAAGCCCCAAACCTCATACATCTGCTCTCCTGCCCAGAGAACACACCTATATGCACACAAAGGCATCCGCTCTGGTCTGGTGTAGACAGACACACACACTGCCCAGTGCACATAGACGTAGCCTCTTAATAAACCCAGCAGGTGTCCTTCTCTCTCACCACAGTTCCAACACACCACTCACTGTAGCGGAGCTCAAGGCGCACTTCCAAAACTGTGTCCAGTGTACATGCTTACACGCCCATTCGACAGAAATGTGCATACAGCTTCCAGATGCCCCACAACCGCCTGGCGCTTGTGGCCTTTGGACCAGGGGAAGGGGTATTCCTGTCTGGAAGGAGGGTTCCTGGGCACAGTGGCTCAGGAGGCCTCTGGGTGCTCCAGGCCCTTCAGCGACCCAGTAGGTCAAGGCTCCTTCTCTGGCCTGGCCAGGATGGCGGAACTCCACAGGGTGGCTGCCTTTACTCCATGCCCATCCCTCCACCATGAGGCCGTCCACGGGGAACGTCTTTGCACCAGGCCCAGCCGGACCCTGACTGAACTCTCTCCTTGTTTTTGTCTCCCGCCCCCGCCAGAAGGTGATGCTTCCGACAGGAGCCGCCTTCCGGTGGTTTCAGTGACGGCGGCGGGAACCCAAAGCTGCCCTCTCCGTGCAATGTCACTGCTCGTGTGGTCTCCGGCAAGGGATTCGGGCGAAGACAAACGGCTGCACCCGTCTTTAGAACCAAAAATATTCTCTCACAGATTTCATTCCTGTTTTTATATATATATTTTTTGTTGTCGTTTTAACATCTCCACGTCCCTAGTATAAAAAGAAAAAGAAAAAAAATTTAACTGCTTTTTCGGAAGAACAACAAAAAGAGAGGTAAAGACGAATCTATAAAGTACCGAGACTTCCTGGGCAAAGAATGGACAATCAGTTTCCTTCCTGTGTCGATGTCGATGTTGTCTGTGCAGGAGATGCAGTTTTGTGTAGAGAATGTAAATTTTCTGTAACCTTTTGAAATCTAGTTACTAATAAGCACTACTGTAATTTAGCACAGTTTAACTCCACCCTCATTTAAACTTCCTTTGATTCTTTCTGACCATGAAATAGTGCATAGTTTGCCTGGAGAACCCACTCACGTTTATAAAGAGAATGTTGATGGCGCCGTGTTGAAGCCCCTGTATATCCATCACGTGGGCAGAGCTGCCTTGAGGAGCTCACAGAGGGGAGGGAGCAGACCCCCCTACCCCCAGGCCCAGGCCAGGTGTGCTACACCCACAGTCCCCACAATGGGATCCCCTGCCCCAACAATGATTTTGCAAAAACGAAAGTTTTGTTTGTTTATCCACTGAGGTCTGGGGAGCCCACGTCTCGACAGTTTTGATCCTGGCTACTTCCCTTAGAGAAAACAAGTCCCTTCTTTCCCGCCTGGCTGATGGCGACAGAAGAAAGGGCTTCTATGCGTGGTCCCCTGCCAGTGGGGGTGGGTGCCCAGGGGGTCCCCCACGGCCTGGGCCCCCTTGCCCGTGGCCAGCTTCCTGCTGATGAACATGCTGTTTGTATTGTTTTAGGAAACCAGGCTGTTTTGTGAATAAAACGAATGCATGTTTGTGTCACGAAGCACTGCTGGCTTCTTGCGCTCTGGTGTTGGGGCTGTTGCTGGGCAGGGGTTGTCTGGGACCACCTTGGGAAGGAGGAAGAATCACCCAGGGACATTTAGAGGGGGGACTCCCTTGGGAAGTGAGGCCCTCAGGAGCCACGAGGGGCAAGCAGGAGCAGCCTGCCTGGATGACAGGATGGAGATGCTGTTAACCTAACAGTGGCTGGTACTGGAGCACCTCACCTGCCTGATTGGACCCCTGACCTCAGAACCTGAACCTCCAGGGACCTTCATTCACCTGGGGCCGCCACCTCTCCATCTAAAGTCAACAGCACCTGATCAGTGCAAAGCAGCCTGTAGTTCTGGGGGCGGGGCCTGAGCTGCCTGTTCAAGTTCTTACCTCTTCTTACCTGCAGGGATCTAGTGCTCCCCCAACCACTGATGGGAGTCCCCAGGGAACAGTTTTAGCCCAGGATCATGGGGACCTGGCTGTACCCCACATGCACACAGACCCGCACAGACCCCCTTTAGGCCTGAGGGCTATTGGACTAGAACCTAGGGGTTCTGGCTTTGTTGTGACTATCCGCACCCTAAGAAGGCTTATTGGCACAAGGGTGTCTGGGACCTCAGAGGCCAGATGACTGGGGAAATCAGCCACAGAGCCATGTGGTCTAGGCCAGGGCAGCCGGCACAGAAAGGGGTGGTTGCTGCCTACCCGCCAGCCGTCTGTACGTCACAGGCTGGCCTGCGGGATAAGGCCTATCATCCACTTAACAGGGAGGCCTCCTTCCCACCCAGCTGCTTTGAGCCTGGCTGAGACAGAGGCTAGACTTGAGGAAGGACTTCCTGAAGATGGGCCTGGCTTCAGATGGGTGAGGGCTTTCAGGATGACAGAAGGGACAGCTTCTGAAGCTGAGTGGGCAGAGAGGTGGGGCAGTTGGGACGTCTCTGTCATTGTTTCTGGGAGGAGAAAAAGCAGCCATGTTGGGTGGGGGTTCTGACCCTCAACCCCTTCCCCTGTGTCACAAGCTCCTTTCCAGCACCAGGAGCTCAGCAGCTTGGCCTGACACAGCGGGGGCAGGAGGGGGCGGTGGGAGGCAGCTTTCAACTCCATCTCTGCCTGGGAAAAATTCCCTTTCATGTGGCTGCCTGTGATCTCTCCAGGCGGCTCTGCCTAACGGGCGTCCAGCGGGAAGTAGGGGGAGGTGTTGCAGCCGGGAGCACCCTCACCCCCTGCGCAAGACAAACTGCAGCACCTCAGAACCTCCAGGGGGCGGAGAGGATCCTCCTTGGGGGCATGGGGGTGGAAGCCTGGCCCGCGGGGAGCACCCAGGCAGGAGGCCCCTGCCTGCCCCCACCTGGTTGCTGGCAACACACAGGCCGCAGATGGCCTCAGCCAGCCCTTGTTGGCATGCCTACAGGTGTGGGGTGGACAGCTCCGGTGCCAGCCCCAAGGCGGGGTGTGCCGTGACTCAGCCAGTCTGTACCTTGCAGTGTGCCAACTTACAGCCCAGCCATAGCAGCTCCTGGGCCCACCCCCACCCCAATACAGAGAAGCTCTAAGATCGAAGCCCCTCACCTCTTCCAACTTGAGCCTCACGCGCTCTGCTTTGTACAAATGTTAGGCCGAGCCCTCTGCCTGGAGGAGGCCCAGGCAGAGGTGGGGATAGCTCTGAGGCTGAACAAAACATGATGAGACCTCAGTTACTTCATCTGGGAAACGGGGACAATAATAGTCTTTCTCCATAAAGTTGCCTGAGGATGAAATGAGATCACTCTAGGGAAGGGCCTGGCTCATCTTAAGCACTTGGTGAATGGCAGCTGGTGTTGCTATTTTAAATCTATTCACCTACATCTTAACAAGATGTCCCTCACTTTCTGCCGAGGGTGTGTGGCTTCCCTAAAAACCCAGTCACCCCAACTCCTACCTTCTGCCCTTCCCCCCAGCAAGCCCCAGCCTGTGTGCCTCTGCCTGTTTCTCTGGCTCACTGTGTCCAAAGCTCGCTCTCTCCTGGTGGTCTCTGACTCTTCTCTGTCTCTGAGTCTCCATGTCTCTCACGTCTCTACATCTCTGTCTTGCACCTCTGCATTTTTCTGTTGCAGACTCACCCCTTCTGCTCTCCTGTCTGACAGAGAAGTACCTAGAGGCAGGCTCGCCCTTGGAGAAGTATGCCCAACTCCCCTCCCCGGGAGGTGCCCTCAGCTGCACTCTGCTATAGTTGGGAGCCTGACCTAGTGACCCAGGAGCCTTCACTTGGGTGGCAGGGAGTGGTGTGACAGGCTGGAGGTACACATGGGGCTGGGACAAACCCAGCCTCCACGCAGCCTTGTGTGTGAGTGTGAGTGTGTGTGTGTGTGTGTGTGTGTGTGAGAGAGAGAGAGAGAGAGAGGTGCTTCAAGGCCCTGACAACCATGTGAGGCCTGTGCAGCAATGTGGGTTATGCCTGACATGAGTGTGACATGAAAATGGGCCTGTGACAATGTGTGGTAGACTATGATGTGAGACCTCATGTGGCCATGGGTTATATGTCAGTAGCCACATTTGGGTGTTCTGTGACATTACATGTGTAACCCTGTGACTTGTACAATTTTGTAACAGACCCAGAATGATACAGCAGAATGTGTGACACTGAGTGATTCTATATGTGACATTGGATATGCAGCATCGATAATGTATGGCACGCATGACCCTATCCCTATGACAGACACTGGGTGATTCTGTGTGGCTGTGATACTGTGTCTGGGACTGACATCAGGAATTCTGTGTGATTGTGTGATGCTGGCTTGTGACCCTGTGATACTCTCCATCTAACCCTGGGTGTGTGCTCATGACATTGTGTGTCAGTGTGCACCTGTGACCCCAGCGATGCTGACACTATGTGCCTTGTGTGTCTCTGTCTCCAGCATTTCCTGGCTCTCTTCCCTTACAGCCATTGCAATTCTGAGGACAGAGTGGGGGCCCCGACAGCCCCTGTTACCCCCAGCCTAGCCCTGAGGCCCGGTCTGGGTGGGAGAGCTGGCGTGGGGGCAGCAGGCACAATTCCCACGGCTACCACGGCCCCTCTTTCAGCCCCACCACAGGGCTTCAGCTCCACAGAATATCCTGGCAACCCCAGCCTCTTTGTTCTCTGTGGCCGCCAAAGGCCTCCCCCACCCCAGCCTGCCCAGGGCCTGCCAGGCGCCCCCTCCTCCCCACAGCAGCGGGGCTCTGACCTAGTCCCTTGCTGCCCTATCCCCGCTCCTGCTCTGGGGCCCCTGTCTCATGCCCTGAGCCTGATTCAACACACCAGCCTGGGCCTTTGGCCCTCGGCTAGGAGCTTGTGTGGCCAGTCATGCGCAGGAAGAAGGAGGCAGGACTGCTCCCGCAGTGCACGGGGTGATTACAGGGCAGGAGCTAAGCTCTCTGTGTTGGGTCTTCCCCTTGGCCCAAGGCTAGTTGGAGGATGTCTTCAGCCTGGGATAGTTTTAATTTTTTGAGTAAGTTTGCTTCTTTGGCTCCAGAAAATCATCAGGATAGGGATTATTAACCTATTTTACAGATGAGAAACTGAAGCCCAGAGAGAGCATGCGACGTGTCCAAGTCACAGAGCAAGAGGGTAGCAGGGTCCTGATGAGAACCTGGCCCTTGGCTGCCAGACCCCTGCACCAGGCTGCTTTGGAAGGACCCGCTTCCTCAGTGGAAGGGAAAGGCTGTCCGGGAGTCTGGACACTTTGGTCCTCTTCACTTCTTGGTCACCAGGTGTCAAAGTCACATTGTGTGTGTGTGTGTGCGTGTGCGTGTGTGTGTGTGTGCGCGCGCGTGCACGTACGCGTGCTGGTGCCCTCGATGCCCTTGCCTCTCTGTTGCCAAGAAGGACAACATGACCAGAGGCTGTGGGGTGGGGCACTTGACAGGGTGCTTTGCAGAACAACAAGGTCACCTCACAGTGCCAAGACTTCACAGCATCTCCAACAGGGACATGGGGTTGGTGGCCAAGGGGCAGATTCTGGTTGGGGGCCCCGTCTTTATTCCCAGGCTAAGCCTAGCTCTGCTGTCACAAAGAACGGGGTGGTAATGGCCGCATGGCTGCTGCAGTCAAGGCCCCTTCAGCCTGACCTGATTGCAGCATCGGCTCCCACTCCCTCCCAGGTGCCAGAGATGGATGTATGGATGGAGGTCACTGTGCAGCCGGCCCCAGCCCCCCACTGCCCACCCGCAGCCCTTTGCCGACAGGCACTACAGGCACCACAGGCACTGCTGACGACAGCCACGCTGGGGGAGGGACGGGCAGGCACCAGCATGTTAATAATACAGACCTTGGCCCAGGCACCCTGCAGGCAGGTAATAGGCACAGAGAGGCCTGGCCGCCCCTCCCCCAAAGGTCACACAGCCCTGCAGGGAGTTCTGTCCCAGAGGTCCACCACCCCCTGAGGGCCCTCTGAAGGCTCTTCCTACCACTGAGAGGAGACGGCTGGGGAGGACGGAGGGGGTGCAGGAGGGTCCCCTGAGGCCGCTGACCCAGCTGCTAGAGAGGACACTTTCATCTCTTCGCCTGTCGACCTGCCATCCCTCAGCGGCATTAAATTCCCCTCCTGCCAGAGAACAAGGGCTGCCTCAGATTCCAGGCAGCAGGGCGTGAAGATGGGGCAGGCCCAGGGGAGGAGAGCTGGACCCTCTGGGTTTCAGGCCTGGGTGCAGAGCTCCTGCGCTTGGGGGCAGGGGACCTGGTCTGTGGGTTCTGGTGGCAGGCTACCCCGGTCAGATGCGGTCAAATGTGGGCTGTTTCCTGTTGCCTTCTCCTGACTGATGCCTTCCTTCCCCTTCAGGTGCTACCTCCTCAGGAGACTTCTTAACCCCTGCGGGCCAGGTCTAGTGTCCCTGTGCCACCCCCATGACTACGCTGATCACTCTGGGTGACATCACCTGGCTTCGGGGGTGCGGTCTGCAACACCGGCACCAGAAAACTGTTGTGGGCTGAGTAAATGCCTTATCTCCTCTTCCTGGGCATTTTTCCCCATGCGTTTCCATCC